CGATTAGCGAAGTATACAATTATTGATAACCTGGACCTCTAGGGCATTACATAACATTACATTACATACATACATACATACATACATTACATACTTGCATTACATTACATTACATTACATTACATTACATTACATTACATACACACATCAACAGGATCATGATTCTCTCACCTGTCTGTGGATCAGAACTTTGTCCACCCAGGAAGCTGGACACATACGGTGAAGAGAAGGTTATATATAGAGGTGTTATCCTTGTCTTACGGGGATCCAACCAGCAACCATAATTAACAAAACTCCCTTCCAGGACTGGCACGCTTTAGAGCCGGCCGGGTGCAGCAACCTGGATGACCTGTTCGGACATCGGTGTTCGGTCTCCGTGCAAGCGAAGAGTCAAAACACGCCGGTGACGACGTTCAGGATGGTGAAAATGGTGATCCTGCAGTGCTGCGACATGCAGGAAAGGCACGTCAGCCACGGAGTAAGGGCGACGCCCAGGTTTCCTCTGAAAAATGGATCGACACAAGTCAAGAATTGCATCCTTCCCGCCTCAGGGACATTCTTTGCAATGTAACAGGTTCATCCACGTTTTCTTGACTCTACAGATCGCCGAGCTTAGTTTTAGACTGTACACCCCATTTTGTGGGGCAGTATCATGCTCAGTCTGTTCAACATCTGCAAACCTTGCAATTCCACAAGGGCCAGGCGGCCAAACAAGCCCAAGAATCTGGCCGGAGGGGGCCAAACAAGACTCTCAGGCATTCCCCGCACTCTTCACCGGACCGAGCAGAAGCCTCGTGGCCAGCAGAGTGTCAACCAGATTCATCGTATTCAGCTGGTTGAACATATCGAGCTCCAGAACTGGAACCCCCTTGCGATTTCCTTCTAGAATGACAACCTGGAAGTAAGTCAGACACAAATACCAAAATCTCCAAATCCTTCAAAATATGTGCCAAATGCATAACTAAATGTTACGCTTTTGCGACCTCCCCACCCCTTTCACCTGCTCTGATTCTGGTTTCCAGCCAGGTGGCACAATGTAGACCAAAATCAAAACCACTGCTCCCCAGTGCACTTCGCCTGAGTGCTGACAGTAGAGCCATGCCAACAAAACAAGCCTCCCAAACACCTACTTGCAGGCCATCTCTCAACGCCAGCACCTTGCCCAAACCAACGGGGGTGAGTAGAACATGCGTGACATATTGGAGTAGAACATGCGCCCCTGGAAAAACCTCCAATCTCCCTGCTGAACTTGGGCATATCTTGCTTCGCAGGGATGGTCCAGGCTTCCAAGCACCCTCCCACTCACCTTCTTGGTGATTGATCCATCCAACACACCAGTTCCATGGAGTTGGGTGGTTTCAAGTCCGCCAAGAAGCAAAACCTGCCAGAGGTGAGTCTTTTGTGGGCCTCACTTGTATTCACTTTTTTTTTTTGGTTGGTTCCAACTCACTTAAAACATCTTCAACATCCCTTTAACACAGGTTCTTGTTGAGTGGGGTGGGGAGTCGCCACTCCAGTGGAGTGGGGTGGGTCTTCTGTCGAGTAGGATGAAATAACATGAAGACCCCTTTTCCTACACAGCTTCACCACGTAGGTCACATCAACAGCAGCAAGGCACCGCAGCAACATCTACCCGCGGGTGTTTCTTCATTTCCGAGGAATGCAAGGGCTCCATCGCCTCCACCCAATTGATGCCTTGGGACCTTTGACGATCGAACATGTCGACGAGAAGACCGACGAAAACAACACGGAGTCGTGGTCAACAAGAAAACGACCTTGTCCCGAGAAGATTTTTAAGCACGGGATGGGATGTATGTCTTGAACAGAACCTGGTATCCAAGCAGTCAACAAAATCAACACCTCAACAAAAGGATTGAGTTAGATTGAAAAATAAGTTTAGTTAGTTTAGTTGCTTCTTCTCTGGTATCCTGCCCCAAGTTCCATAGGTTCTCTTCTGGGCTGGAGGGCTAGAGAAGGCTATTCAACTTCCGCTCGCACGCGTGGAACAAAGCAAGCTTTGGTCTACACACGTGTCATGACGATCCAGGCAAACTCGTCTTCTCAAGTGGACCAAACATGATGTCGCCAAGAACTACAGACTTGACTCGCTGGCAGATCCCCTAATTTTAAAACAGCCCGCCCACATATGATTAATTTTGATATTATCGATAGATACATATTTGTCTATTTCTTTTTACCGTATATAATCCCGCCGCTTGCACACGCAAATGTTGCTGGACCGTGAATCAATGACTAGCAAAGAAGTGGATCGCGCGGAAAATGGACATGTCAACATCACCACTTAGACTTAGACACACTGACAGTACCTCTCTAATAGAACAAGTGTTTTTGAAGGGGCCTTCACATGAATCTATATGATTTCAATATGATTTCATATGAATAAATGTTATTGATGTTCTCCCACGGTACAATATGTTCAGGTCTCCATGATCCACTTTGGGTTTTCCGGTATAGATCAGCCTTGCGGGCCGCAGCTGAGTGGGTATAGATCAGGTCGGAATATCCATGTACGTCCAAGTAACAATGGATGATCATGGTTAGTAAAGGCCTTTAGCCTTTCTACAAACAAGCCATAACATCACACCGACTGTTACTGGACCCTATTATATGGGTATATATAGATATGGCTGTTAGGCTATGAGTCAAAACCTCCCTCACCAAACCATGGTAGGCTGACACCCCTTATAGTGGAATCTGATCATTTTCAGGGGTCAGCCAGGGTGCCCGGGCTTTGACCCCACCGTCATATTTCTGGGAGCTTCATTAGAGATCACCTTGAATATTGCGACCAGTGGAGATGAATTCTGATCTCCAAGTGCTCGATTCCACTGGAGGCCCCCGGTCCCACCGAGGACGTTGGATCGAACGCCTTGGAAAAAAGGATCCAATGTTTAAAGTTTAGTCCAATGTTTCCCGGGTTCAAATCTTCCATCTGAATGATGGTCCTACAGCCCAGCCTTCCCACCAAATATTGAGTGAACTGGCATAGTCATTCCCAAATACGGTACAATACGGTGGAAAGGTGAACCAGTAAATGAAAGCACCAGCCATGTTCTTGGGTGAAAAACTCCTCCAAGCCCAGTATGATTATGTTTTTAAAGGGGGTCGCGCGCCGCCGTGGAGGTCCGACCAAGTCACATCGCCATGAAAAGAGTCAGCATACCTTGGCCAGGTGGGGAAACCACAAGTTGCAACCCTTCCTACCTGCGCGTCCGCTCAAGAAACCCAGCTCTTGGCATGTCCATAAATGCCTCCATGCTCGTTGACAGTATCAACTGGGCTTCCCAGTAACTTTGTCAGGAAACCATGTGCAAATAGTTTGTGGTTGAGGATGCAAAGCCTACCTCTGCCACGGCTGTTCTGTGTTGGTCTGTATGTATAAAACCTACTATATAGTCTCCTGGTGGGCTTTTGAAGAGAACAAGAGGCCATCTCACATTGTGGAACTCACGGCACGGTATGCCCATGAATTCTGCGGATGAAAAGTTCAACACTCCACAGTAGCCCAAAAACGACATATATTCCATGGAAGTTGCCTCCCACACCCCAAGTCAAAATCGAAAAAAATGGGAACTTGTGAGGCCTGCAACCTGTGATTTCGGTTTATACCAATTAATTTGGAGTCTTTCCTGGACAGCTTGGAGACTCTGGGCTTCATGACTCCAGCGCTCTTGGGCTCTCTGGAAGCTCTCAGGTGATCAGGAGCAGCGAATTAACGTGTTACCTACACTCAAACAAGAACGTGCTTGAGTCAAGACAAACAGAGAGTGGTTGCTCATTTTTTGGGGGGCGGGTGGGTTTTGTTGGTCAACGCAGGTCACTACCTTAGGCTTACAAAGACATGTTCATTGGAAAGAGCCTGTTTTCTAATTTTAAAAAGAAAGTCAAAAAATCAATCCCAAAAGTCAAAGTCAAAAAAAGTCGCAAAAAACAATTTGCCCAGATCCGACTTTTTTTCAACTTTTTTTGGACTTGTTTGATATTTTGTTGATTTCTTTTTGACTTTTTCGAGATGCTTTTTGATTTTTTTTTTGGGGTTTGTTTTGACTTTTCTTTCGCTTTTTTAACTTTTTTCGAGCTGTGGCAGCTGTGGTCTATGGTTGACTTTTTTGGAGTGGTTTTGATTCTTTTTGATGTTGTTGTTTGACTTTTCAATTTAAGATGTTTTTTTGACTTTGACTTTTCCAGCTGACTTGTTTTGATTTTTTTTCAAGGATTCTGGCCTTACCATTTGAAAGGTCTTTTTTATAACCTTAGGCCTATCATCACACATGACATGGAGTGTCTGGAAATGAAGATCTATGCTCCTGCCAGTCGAGAGCCGAGTTCCGGATGCGACAAAAGGACAGGGTGTGGTTGATCCCAAAAGCACCAAGCCAAGAGGCTCTCTGGTACGGAGGCCTCAGAGATGGCACCCGACGCGTGGCACAAAAACGGGACGTCTAACGGCTCACTTCATGCTCTGCACGTCTTTTCCGCCCCCTATGGACAAAGCAAGTGGTCTAACTCTTTGCTTTTGGGTGGCCTGTTTCATATTCCTTCTTGGTCAGTGAGAGTGTGGGCTTGGCGGAAGCCCACACTCCACCTCTTCACACGGAAGACGGTGGCAAGCACAAGCTTCAATACATCAAAGCCGGGATTTGCTTCAGGAGCCGGGACAGCATTAAACAAAACATTCTCTCACCCAACAGGGGAATTCACCCCCTTTTGGGACAATAAAGCCTCACCCCCTCAACAAAAATGAACCAATCACAGTTTAGAACATGGCGATCAGAATTGCCGAGGCGCCCAGTACTTCTTGAGACTCTCGGGGCAATTTGCCATTGGATCGCCGGTGCCAGTGCGGTCTTGCCCCAGGAAGCGGCAGTGTTCCACCACCAACCTCAGCTCTGCACGCGAGTGTCTGGGGAGGGCGAAGTGTCGATTGGAGTCGGCTGTTGAGGAACCCAAGCTCTCCCAATTCCACCCTAAGAATCCGGGGCCCGAAGCAACACATTGGAGAATTGGAGGGTCCGACCCCTGCCATGGAGAGCCCAAGGATTCTTAGGGCAAAAACATCAAAACACCACCATGCTCACCATGGTTGAGGTCCCGACCCAAAGATTGTGGAATGACGGAAGATCGAAGGATCAGGGTGGCGAAGATGGGAGATCGGGACGATGCTGAACAAACACCCATGGAGGTTGACCATGTTCATTTGATGTCACAAACCACTCAACAATCGTGGTGTGGGGATGTGTGGGGTCTTGAGAAGCTGAAAATATTCCACGTCCTTTTGGCACATGCAAATAGGACCAATAGCACCTCCCAATATCACACCGGGCGAGACATCGGAATCTGAACATGCTTGAGCAACATGCTGCAAGCAGAGTTTTTCCCAACTTCCTTCATGAACAATATTTGGAAGCCGGCTGCAAGCCAAGAACACACTCCTCACGGGCTTTGATGGCTCATGAACTGATGACACCATATCGCAAGGATGGAATCAACTCAGTCCTGCCAACCCCAACATCTGGCTCCTGCAGATACTTCGCCTAGAGGCCAAGTGAGTGCCAATCCATCCATACTTGAGAGAGGAGGGGGTGAACGAAAGGTAGCAGGCAATCACAAGCAACCCTGGTAAGCAAGGAGAACTCAGGTAGCTCAAGCTACCTTTCGTGATATGGACCCTATTTGATCCACTGAACTTCACACCTTACCCTGACCAAGTCCTATCAGTTTGGTTCACCCCCCGTGTGGCCCATCGTGCATCGATTTGGGAAGTGGTTGGTTCGCAGGTCAAGGCAACAATCACCGCAGCAACCGAACCAGCTGGATACCGCTAGAGAGTTGACAACACCTCTCAGATGATGCGGGCGGTCGACGTTCTCTTTTTGGGATTTTCAACCCCGTTGTGCCTGCAAGCACCCACCCAAATCCACGAGGGTTCTGGCGGATTTGAAGGCTGGGCCTGTCCAAGCCAAATGTCGCCGGAAACTCCGCCAGCGACCCAAGTGTTTCGGGCCAGATGACAAACTCCCCGCAAAGAGGTGAGCTTGTTAGGAGTGAGTGCGTCAGTGGGGCGAGTCAAAAACTGTTCCTGATTTGTGTGAAGCGCACATAGCTCCTTTACGTAGTCCTTTTCCTCCATCAAGGATCATGATCCATATCTAATGAGAAGGCAAGGCAAGTCCCGCACCCCTAAAGCGCCAAAAGGAAAGCAGGCTTCCTCATTCACGTGGTGAAACAGGAGGTGAAAAACGGGGGTTCTTTATCAGGGGCTGAACACTGGGCATAGATATGCTTGTTCATGTTTGTTCCTACCTGGACCACTTCTTCATGTGACTCATGACTCGCCTGGTCCAAAGGGAGCCTGGTCTGGTGGGAATGGAACCGGTCGACCGGTCCTCCAGAACGCGAGTTGCACGAGTGGTGGCCCCTGAAAAGAGGATCACCACGTGACCCAAAGAATTCCTCAATTCTGAGGCGCGAAGCGAGTCACCCTCGGGTTTGAGACTCTCACTGCTTGGAATTTCCCCCCGCGCCAGGCTGAACCAAGACACTGTGTAAGCATCACCTGCCCATCGACAAGTCGACCCCAAACAGGAGTGGCGGTTTGGCTGGTGCTTCCCTGGAAAACTCTATGAGGGTCCACCCAGAATTTCAGAGTTTTAGCGGTTAGGCTGAGTGATGAGCGTAAAAGTGGCCACAAAAGCAAGTGGCGCATCATCAGTCATCAAATGACCAGAAGTGACAACAAGAAGTGACACACACCAGCGATTCCACGCTACACCAGCGATTCCACGCTACACCAGCGATTCCGCGCTACAGTACAAGTAATGGTCCAATTCCCCAAGAAAAGAATATGCACCTCTAGCCTATAGTCTTAGAACGTACCTTAGATCATGGGTGCAGCACCTGCTACCCTGGATAGATACCAATTCCAGTCCAAATACTAAAAGATAGCTTTCTACAAGTTCTGGCAACATTTACATCCTTTTCAAAGCCTGAACGGTTTCCCACCCTGAACACGATTGATATATCTGAGTGTTATGAAATAAACCATGTTCATCCATGTTCATGGATTAGGGTTTTCAACACGTCCCGGACCACAAATCTCGTCCTTAAAACCTCCTGAAAAAAACACACATTGGCAACAACATGGGACAACAACAAATGGTTATAAGATCCCCGCAAATTAAGAGGGGGGGACGTCCAAAAATGTAACTTACATTTTCCTATGTTTTCGGACCTCAAAAATGTAAGCTTACATTTTTTTTGGACCTCAAAAATGTAAGCTTACATTTTTCCTTTGTCATAGGAAAAATGTAAAAAACCAATCTGACGTATGTCGAAGTATGCAAACAGCCTGCAAATGACATGCCAAACATTCTCAGAGCTTCTTTTCCTCTCTGCTTCTGGTTTGTGCATTGCATCTAGCCGTATTTTACAGCAAGCTTTTCACCTGCCCCTTCCATAGCTTACATGTTATAAGGTTTTGCAGGCAGCTTTTTGTTCGGGTCATGCCCCAGTGGAGCGTCCAGGGTCCAGGTGGGCTTGGAATTCGTCACGCCAACCGGTTCAACCCCGAAATCGGGACACTCCCCCGGTCTGAAACGCAAAAACAATTGCAATTCCAAGCCACTCCAAAGGTATAAAATAGGATCACCAAAAGTGCCAAAGTCCAGCAAAGTGAGCTCATCGTGCTCATGATGGACAAGGCCAATGTCCCTGAGTCCAGCATCATTGGAAACAAACACATGAAAGCCTAAAACAGGGCTGAGAACTGTGACAAACCTGAAAACGGCCACCGGGACCCGATCTGGCTCTCTGTTCGCTAAGGCCATGGGCCATGGTCGATGTCTAAGCGCTGAGGGGATGAACATGGTGAAGATTTGGAACCTTGCTGAAGACGCTGAAAAGACCTCCAATGTGGAACGAGGCTCGCAAACACTTGCCATAACTTGTGTATGCAGGCTTAAAGATGCAACAGCCTTCATGGCCTTCACAAAACATTGGCATCAGAAAGCACCAAAACACTTCAAAACTGACCAAGTATATAGTCCCAGGTTTTGACTACTATATACACCGCTTTTGCCGATTCATTTGCCGGTTCCATCAGCCCAAAGTCCACTAGCGCGGCTTGAGACACCTGAAAAACATTGAAAAACAACTTGTGCAGCCAGCCCATTGGTTGTAATTACACTGGAAGGTGTCCCTTCTAAGAAGAACACATCCTACACTGGAAGGTGTCCCTGGTATTCATCCACTTTCTTGCATTTCTATTCAAGCCTTTAAGATCCTTTAAGGTCTTTTCTTCGTCCAACACGCCCATCGGCGCCATGCCGAGCTGCTCAACGCGCGCACATGCCGAAAGAGCTTGGCCACGCGGATGGAGCGCAAGGCGCGGGCGAAGCGCGCGAAGCGAAGGAGGCGCAGCTGAGAGGTGCTCAAGGAGGGCCACAGAGTCTGGAACCTCCAAAAGCATGCGAGATATATGAGAGGTGCCCACTGAGGTGCCCCAACACCCAAAAAAGAGACGGTGTACGAGCCACTTTCAGAAACAAACATGTCCTGGACTGCTGTTGGTCCGATTCAACCGATGGAGCTAAGGGGGTGACCTCAGAGATGAGTGGATTTGGAGATCTGATGAACCTCCGCATTTCTGGTATATAGTTAAAGATTGACATAGGCCCCAGCTGCTCTTTAAAGAGGAGGTTTGCATCGATACATTCGGGTTTGGGGCAGCGGCCGGCGGCGAATTCGCAACCCTCCTGGACCTTCGCTACGGTGTCTCCAAACAACTTGCCCTTGCGCACCATCCCTGTTTAATCCCTTTTTGAGGGTTTGTTTGTTTTGGGGGGGCATTCTTGGGCTCATGGCTTAGCTCCCGGCATGAACAAAAACCTCTCCAGGCGGCAGAATGTCAATGGCCACATCAAACACAGAAATCGCCACGACAATAAAGTCCAGGATATTCCAAGAGCTGTCCTCGAGACATGAGAAAGTAACTACCCCCCCTGTAGACTAACATGGACCGTGAAAATAGGCCCTTGTGATCTACTGCCGGGTGGTTTCAGGGTCGGTGTCCTGGAAACATGAGATAGTGATAAGTGATAATAGCATATTGACAGAAAAACACCCCTACAATTGTAACTCACGACCCTCAACTTGATGAATCACTTGCGACGGACAAACTTGCAATAGAACATGTCCGAGAAAGCTTTGGACGGTTGCCTCAGGAGAGCTCGAACCGGCCCCTTCATTCTACAAAGCTATATAGTACACATAGGAGAGCTCGAACCGGCCCCTTCATTCTACAAAGCTATATAGTACATCTCTCGTTTTGGGCTAACTTGAGGTGTAAAGCGTATACGTATGAGAATGAGAGTATAGTATATAGGGGTCTCAAGTACTAGTCACACTAGTCCACGTGACTAAATATGCAAGTTAAACCGTGTTGGTTTGCATATTCAACACTTGCTCAGCAGGAGGTGCAGTAGCAGTAACAAACCGTGTTGTGGGTCCAGTTTCGAAAGTAGTTGTGAAGGGCTCGGCTTTAGATACGTGAAAACACTGAAACTAAACTGACTTTGCTGAATGGGTCAATGTGATCAACACCAATGATTATCAAGCACCCAATCATCCCAAAAATAGTCTCGTCTCATGATCATAACCATGTGGGCAACATGCCTGACTGATTGGCGTGCCCTACCCAACCACAGAGTCAACCGCTCAACTGCTCCAAAAACACTTTGTTGCCAGCCCCCTTTTGGGAGCATAAGTCTCATCCATCCAATACGGAAGTGAACACCCTGGAAATTCGGAGCGCTTCAAAAAATGATTGGACACCGTTTCTGTCAAACATGTCATTCATTGACCGCTCACCTGCGACTTCCTCATCCCCCACCCGGGCTGGGCCGCCAATTTTTGTGGGCCACTCCGGTCCTCGCCCAACCAAAAGTTCCGGCAACCCAAAGCCAGGAGTTTCAGCGCCATCTCCACCACGAAACACGCCCTGCACTCGCTGCATCGGCTGGGTGCACCCGAGCGCAAAAAATGGGTTCCAGTTAGGGGGACGCAGCAAAAACTGGTTTCGTCCGTCGGAGGTGGTTCTTTCCCTTCGTCAACGGTTGGTTGGTGATATGTCGGCCGAGGAATCCACATGCATAACATCACCCTTCAACAGTTGGGGCTGGTAACAATGAAAGGTTGCAAGATGTTGCAAGGAATAGCCTGTTCCATGATGGTGCAGGCTCCAATCTGAGCAAATAAATGCAATAATATAAATGTTCACCCAACCAGTGTTGAAACTACTTATCGAAAGCCCTTTCTAGCTGGTCAAAAACACCTCTGTTGTACAGCGGAGGTCTGCTCTTGCGGACTGACTGAGCCTCCAGTCCGGTTTCTCAATGTAAGCACCAAACCTTTGGTTGACTGGAGGCGCCACCAGGAACAATGAACAATTCGCCGGCCACCGACCTGTTAAACAAGAAAGTCGCATCCCACACTGAGAAATGCAGCCAAGATGCACGCTGACAGTGTTGAATGTGCTAAACCATGTAGGCACATCCTCCAGGCCAACAGATGCAGATATATCAACTTCCACTCCTTGGTGGCTGTGGCGTTTTCGCCACGTCATATCTTCTTCTCTCATCGAGGCACGGTCCGTGTCACCTCACCTCTCCAGGCCGCCACTCGCCACTCGCCCACACGCGCCACAAGCGTCGCGTCGGTCACGCGTCCGAGGGACCAAGGAGAATCACATGCAGCAAGATCAGCAAAGAGATGCCATAGGACACCACCGGCGAAAAGACCTGGCAGCGCCGGTGTGCCATGGTGTGGGCTAGCTGTGAACCCGGTCCGAATTGCACTTTGAGCGCCTGAAAGGGTTCTGGTACATAGGGTGCTGAAAGCGCTTGTCCGTCCGGAGTCCTAACGTTGAAAACCTTTCGTGAGCT